TGTGTGTCCTTTACCAGATTAACCTATCATTAGCATTTAATCCCATATGAGTGCACTCTATTATCTACTTCTAATTTTGTGTCCGAACCATCTGAAGTTCATGATCCTCTACCTCTAAATATTTCAGCATGTATTTCTATAGAGTATAACCACTGTACAGTTATCAGCTTCATGAATTGGCAGTGATATGATGTGAACCAGAGAGTCTTCTTGTGGAAACAGATGTCTCCTAAACATAAGGCCCATCTTAACTTTATATTGTACAAAATGGACTTTGGGCAATCTACTGTTACAGGTGAGGAGCTCATCAAACACTTCAAATAGTGTCCCAGTCAGTCTCAGATCTGCCTTTCCTTCTCTTGTTTGTGTGAATCAAGCCATTCATTTCTAAAAGCCTGCAGCTTCCCCAGTGTCCCAATATAAAAATTCTGCATTCTCCCATTATAGCTCAGTAATGGGCTTGGAATAGGATTCCTCAATTTTACATTGTTTAAAAGGAATTTTAAAAGTATAAATATCACCTGTTTAAAATCCAATTGTTTGCTTCCATCTGCAACAGTGGTAAATGTGGTCAGGTTCTGGACTTGCCTTTTTTGTCTCTGACTTTGTTGCTGAGCTTGCCCCTGTTGGAAAAAGGAGAAATTTGGATGTGCAGGTAAGCCCAAGAGGTCCACAGACGGAAGGGAGGCTGGCCTTGCCCCCTAGGACTAAGTTGAAGACCTAGAGTCCCATACAGCTATTTAAGTCTACATAGGAATAATATTTTGCAACCCAAGATCTAGGTTTTATTTGTTTGTTTTTTTAATTTCAGAAGCATTCCATAAACATCTTAATGTTAGATGTCATGTTTCAGGTAAATGATATTGAAGAATTATTCTGTCATTAATACAATCCTTGTGAAGACATGGAAAGTGGTAAGGAGGTGACCTTCCTGGGTGGGACACATGTCAGCCTAGGCTGGGGTTTGTGACTTGGTTTTGGAGAGGCTTCTTCCCTCCTACTCCCCTATTGCTTCACCACCTCTGTGCTCTCCAGTTGCTATCCACAGAACCCCACCTTCCTGGGCCACTGGGGCAGAGGGACATGTTATGCTATAATGTAATCAATCTTTTGTAGATGGAAACATGGATTTTTCTTTAAAAAAATTTTTTTGGCCTGTTACTATGTTTACAACAACTTGAAAATCCTTCTGTTAGTATATAGCTTTGTTCACTTGTTTGATATTTTCTGTAGAATAAATTTCTGAAAGTGCGGTTGCTGGATCAAAAAGTGTGCTTCTATTTTTGACTTTTGATACCTCCTGCCAAATTGTTCCCCAGAAATTGTGCCACAATTTACAGTCCTACTAACAGTGTATGAAAATGTGGTGTCTTACTCTTAGGATCCACCTGGTCTCTGGAAGCTTGTAGTTAAAAGTCTCTGCTGAGACATCAGACTGTCTGGGTTCACACCCTACTTCTGCAACATACTAGCTTTGCTCTTTCATAAATGATACAATCTTGCTAAATATTTCCTTTTCCCTTCAAGGGGAATGATAATAATACCCTTCTCACAGGGCTGTCCTGGAAATAAATGAGATACTCGCCCTCTTACTTCTAGCTCCAGTCCAAGCCCCAAGAACAGCCTTTCAGCTGCCTTGTCTGGTCTGAGGCCGGGGGCAGAGCCAGGCACCAATACTGTGGACAGTGAGCCTGAGGATGGGCCGCGGGAGGGAGCTAGAATACTAAAACAGTGCCACCCTTTATTACCTTATGTGTGTGATGACACATGACTGCGGTTTCAAAACCAGGTTTTCTGTTATTTATTTGTTTTTTGGTAGTAGTTGTTTTGTTTTTTTTTTTAAAGATTTATTTATTTATTTTAGAGAGAGAGAGCGCAAGTGGGAGGGGCAGAGGGAGAGAGACTCTTAAGCAGACTCCATGCTGAGTGAGGAGCCCCATATGGGGCTTGATCTCATGACCTGGAGATCATGACCTGAGCTGAAACCAAGAGGCAGGTGCTTAACTGGCGCCCCAATAACAGTTTTTTTGAGGTAATGTATATAGCCTATAATTCACCTACTTAAGTGTATAATTCAATGGTGTTTAGTATTTCCAGAGGTGTATAGCATAAGTGCAATCAATTTTAGAATATCTTCATTACTCCAAAAAGAAACCCCATAACCTTTAGCTGCCACCACCAAACTTCTGCATCCCCCCCTTCCCCCAGCCCGAGGCAACCCCTAATCTACTTTCTGTGTCTATAGATTTGCCTGTTCTGGACATTTCATATAAATGGAATTCTACAATATGTGGTCCGTTGTGACTGGCTTCTTTCACTTAGCACAACGTTTTCGGGATTCATCCACGCTACAGCAGGTACCTATACTTCATTTGACAAATACTATCCCGGGGTATGGATATACTACAGCTTGTTTACTCAGCCATCTGTTGATGGACATTTGGGTTCTTTTCAGTTTTTTGCAATTACAAATAATGCTGCTATGAACATTTGTATGCAACTTTTTGTGTGGACGTGTTTATTTCTTGGGTATATACCTAGAAGTGGAATTACTTGGACATTTGTTGTTTTTTAATATGAATAATGTTGTAATGCATATCTTGGAAAAAGACTAGGGAAAAATGTCCACGTCAAAGGAAAAGAATATAGATCCAGGGGTGTTTGGGGCTTAACCTCTCTGAACAACGCATTTGGCATCTGTAAAATGGGTTGTTGTAAAAATTAGAGGTTGGATATAACAGAGGTCCTTGGTACACAGTAAATCCTCAAAACATGATAGCTACTATTCCACATCCGCCAAACCTGGAGGTAAAAATCCTCATGGGCCTAGCCTCTTCATCAGTCCATCCTGTCAATAGTATCAGATTTCCTTGGTTTTTCATTTTTATGACCTCGTATTTTATTTTGTCAGTCCCAGCATAAGCCTTTGGTAACTGCCAGACTGATACTGCCTGCAGAAGGAAGCCGGGCTCTGCCCAGAGTAAGCTGTTCCTTTTCATCCTCGCATCGAGCTCCAGCTGACTTCTCCTGCTTGCTGACTCCTGTCTGCACCCCCACTGCTGGCCCTACTCTCACATCCCTCGCATCTGGGAGGCACAGAAAAGACCACCATCTGCCAGTGTCTTCTGTGACCCCGGCACCATCTCTTCTCTCCCGCTTCTTCCCCATTGTCATTTATCCACTCTAAGCCCCCTGGCATGTTTTGTGATTTCACACCAGTCTAGGCTTTCTTTTTCCACTTTGTTGAGCATCCTGTTATGGGGTGGAAATTTTCCTACCAAAGTCTCCTGCTCCGCGCTTCTAAAGATAGTGGCATCTTGTCCTCAACGTCTACCCTCTTTCCTCTGTAAAGTACCACGAGCTCCTTGTCTCCCTGGTGGATTCACTTCCCCTTCCCCTTAAGTGTCTGCCATTGAAACCAGCAGTTTGCTCAGTTTTTAAAAGCCTGGCGGAGCTGGACCACGTGTCTGCCCGAGCTGGGAGGGCTTTCTTGCTTCCAGATCTGGCTCACTTAGAACCACTTGACCCATCATGCCCACTGTCGGGCCACTCATTTCTTCGGCAGCCATGGCCAAGTGTGTGGATCAGTCTTTCCTTGCACTTGATCCATCTGGTTGAACCCTTCCATTATTTCCAGGCTCTCTTTGGGTACCATATTCTGGCCATTTTCATCTTGCAACAATCCTCTCTCTTCTCATAGACCTTTGATTTTTGAAGGGAGTGTTTTTGTTCTTGTATGACCTGCTTCTGCTCTTAATACCCCCATTCTGCTTCATCTGTTCTTTGATTTCACTGTTTCGGCCCTGGTGTCTTCACCTTGGTTTTATCTGTCTGTGTTCTTCCTTAAATGCTTCTGTGGCAAGATCTATTTTATTCTTGGAGGCCTTTGGCTATATTCCTTTAGAAAGCCCTCTCTGTGTCAGTGAAAAAAAAGTTCCATCATTCTGAAATCTTTAAAGGAGAGCATGACTTCGGTTCCTCACCCCTTTACCTAATTCTCTGCATTTTAAGAAATTAATTTCAATCTCTGCCATCGCATGAATAGAAATAATAAAATCTTTCACTCTGCATTTTATGATCTCTGACATTTTTCTTACGATACTCTCAATCCTACTATATTCAAATGGCTAGCATTGGCAGCAAATATCCTTCTCTCCAATGTAATGACATTTAAATTTGAGTAATTGATGGACCTTTAAAAAAAAGAAAAAAGTCTTCTGGACCCATACCAGTGACCTAATAATTTTATTTATAATAAATTGTTATTTTATTTTATTTTATTTTATTTGCCAGAAAGACACAGCCAGAGAGGGAACACAAGCAGCGGGAGTAGGAGAGGGAGAAGCAGGCTTCCCACAGAGCAGGGAGCCCGATGCGGGGCTTGATCCCAGGAACCTGGGATCATGACCCGAGCGAAGGCAGATGCTTAACGACTGAGCCACCCAGGCGCCCATAAATTGTTGTTTTAATACAGATATGGTTCTGGCTAATTTGGACAGTGTATTGATTTCAGCAAGCCTATGGTGACTCAATTCTCTTGCACTTTTTCTCCAAACTACCCTGAAACTTTTGTTCATGAGGAACATTTATGTGCCATCTTCCTCTTTTCTTTTCTCACAGGTCTTTGATAATTATAGCAGTGGTATGACTGACCCCAGTGGGGTTGAAAACTACCAGAGCAAACATGGGCCCGAAGCCTGTGGTATGCCTGCTCATGAGGTGGGCCTACAGGTCGTTCAAAACATGCTTTTGTTTTTCTTTCTTCTTTCTTTCTTTTTCTTTCTTCTTCCTTCCTTCCTTCCCCCTTCTTTCTCTTTTTCTTTCTTCTTTCTTTCCTTCTTTCCTTCTTTCTTTCTTTCTTCCTTCCTTTCTTTCCTTTTCTTTCTTTCTTTCGTTCTTTCGTTCTTTCTTTCTCCCTTTCTTTCTTTCTCTTTTTCTTCTTTCCCTCTGAACCTTTTATTGGCTTCCTGCTCCCCAAAGCATACCCTGCTTCTGCTGCCTCAAGGCCTCAGAACTATGGTGTCATTGGTCTCAGACACCACGCTGCCATCCTCAATCCTGCAGGTGGTGGTCTTCTGGATGGTTTGCAAGGAGTTGCTGCTATCCAGAGCGTCACCAAGGCAGAAGTGTTCCCTGTTTGCCAGCAGGCAATGGTAGGGGCGATCTCAGCCTGACCTTGAGCAAGGCCTGGTGCTCCTGGATCTGGCACTGCACCTCTTTCCGGGTCTGGGACAGCTCCGACTCCACGTGCAGCAGGACCCGTTGAGCTGCTCCATCTGCTTCGTGTAGCAGGCCTCCACCTCCCTCAGGCTGTTCTCCAAGTTGGCCTTCAGGTTTCTCATCAAGTCCCGGTTGATCTCCAAAGATTGGGCCGCATGTCTCAGCTCTGTGAGAGTTATCTCAGCTGCTCCTATCTCAGCGGTCTGCAAGGTGACCACTCTGGTGCTCTCCTCAATCTGCTGGGACCAGTACTTGTCCAGCTTTTCTTGGTTCTTCTGAGCCAGCTCGTCATACTGGGCCAGGATGTCTGCCATGATCTTGAGGTCCTGAGGTTTTGGGGCATCCAACTCCATGGTCAACCCAGAGGTGGCACTTTGGTTTTATAGACCCTTTACTTCCTCCTTGTGGTTCTTCATGAAAAGTGGCTCCTCCTTGAGAGCCTCGATCTCTGTCTCCACCTGCAGCCAAGTGACATTGCTATCATCAATGACCTTGCAGAGCTGATGGATGTCATTCACAGACTGGCACATGGCCAGTTCTGTTTCATACTTGACTCTGAAGTCATCATCATCGGCAGCAAGCTGGGTATTGGCCACAGAATTTGCGAAGATCTGAGCCCTTAGCTCTTGACTGTCTTGAAGTAATGCCCCAGTCTCTGACCTTCTCTAAGTGTTCTCGGATTTTGATCTCCTGTCTCTGGTTATCAGCCTCCAGGCTCCTCACTCTCTCCAAATAGGAGGCCAGAGAGTCATTCAGGTCTTGCATGGTCTCATTCTCACCCTGGATGCCCCCTATGCCTGCCAGACTCCCAACTATCCTGGTGGCCAGGCCCCCAGAAGCTGGTGGAGTGGGATATGGAGAGATCTGGGAGCTTGAGCCTTTGGCGCCTGCCTAGATGCTGACCAGCCAGACCCAGTGGCTGGGTGACTGCATGGAGCCCAGGGACCGATAGTTGGAGGAGAAGGGGAAGTGGGTGGTGAAGCTCATGCTGTTCGGGGAGTAAGATGAGAGGCCAGGACTCAGGCTCAGGCCACTGCTTTCACAATTATTTAGCTTGATTTGGAAAGAGCCCTTGTAGAAAACATTCACATCTCTGTTACTGTGTCTCACAGGCTAATAATAAATACTTCATACAGAGGTCACCTTTTGTTTGTCCACTGCCCTAGCACCTTTCCCAAGTTGCATGTGGCATTTCCCCCAGCCTCATGCCTTTGCTGTGCCCTGGGGAGGTGTCCTGTGCACATTTTCCTTTTTTGGCTTTCTTTTTTCTTTTGGGGGTTCATATCTGTAAATTATTTATTTTCTCCCAACCAGTTCACTTCCATGATCTTTCAAATTTCCATATTGTATCTTTTAAACAAAAACCTGAAAATCTGAACTCAAATGGCTCTTCCCCTGTTGAGGGATTTGATTGGTCCTAAATCAGTCCTTTCACACAGATTTCTCTCTTCAAATGCAGCTCTATTTTTTAAGTCAAAATTACATCCAGATCCTCTATCTTTGGAGACTTCTAGGCTTCAGCTCCAGCCTGTGTTCTCATGGGGTCATGGAGACAGCTCTAGATTTGGGATTAAGAGATTCCCAGAGAAATTCCTCCACTTAAACTACAAAAATTTGGAATCTCTTAACTTCTCTGAGGCTCATGTTTGTCATCTGCAAAGTGGGATAATGATAGCTACCATGTCGTGATTCTTGTGATTTCATGAAATACCGTATGCAAAAGCAGGTTCAAAATTCTATCTGTATTCTATATTTTTAGTTGAAGCTCTGCTCACCCTAATTTCATGTGTTTTTCTTTCCGTCCTTCAACATCTCCTTTGGAAGTTCTCCACTTTTTCCTTTGGCTCATTTTTCTTGGCTCAACTTCTCAGTCACTTCAATCTTCCTGATTAATTAATTAATCAATTGATTACTCATCCATTCTTTCGTATTTGGATGAAAATGTTGACATCCTGACAGTTGATGTCAGATTTGCTGGGAGCAGGGAGATTATTTGGGGGTAAGGTGACTCCCAGAGGACATGTTTTTCAGGAGTCAAGACAACATGAAAAACACTAATTGCTGATGTGGAACTGAACAGAAATCAGGAGGAAGGGAAGAGTAGGAAAGTGAGGAAAGGGGGGGCGGGTGGGAGAGGGGAAGCCATCAGCAAGATGGTGGGAGGAATAGGAGCCTGCCAGGGCTACACTGAGCAGTGAACAAAATCGTGGGTTGGAGGGAGTGGGAGGTAGTAGAAGGTCATACACATAAAATCTGGGGTATCTAATAATCTATTGCAGCTTGTCTGGTTGCTGTGATATAGACTCTGCTAAATCTTTGGTAAGCGAATCACCCGCCGGAGTAGGCTTTCGGGGAAATCGTGGAAAAGGGCTGAGTGCCAAGATGAGATCAAGATGGTGGGATTCAGGGACAGCAAAATCCATTGGAAGTCAGAGGTGACCACAATAACCCCCCGGAGATTCACAGACAGTGTGGAAGGACTTTGAACACCCACTAGGGAAGGATGGGGGTTTGAGCTCGTCTGATCTATGTGAAGGGGATGGCGACTCCAGTGACATGCAGACATTCACTCGAAAACATAATATGTACCCAAAGCCAGCTATATCCTCCTCGGACTTCGGTTCCATCTAAAGAAAGCCTATCACCCCATTATTCCTCTGAGTAACCTCAGAACTAGCTATTTTTAAGTGTTTTCTATATTCTTTTACTCATGAGAACTAATTTTGCCTCGTGGTTTCTTCCCATACCTCTTGTTTACTCATTTACTCCCACCGACTTTATGTTTACCTGTTTCTTTTCTTCAACCTGAAAACCATCTTCATTTTCGACCTCCCTTTCTCAAGTTCCTCCTCTCACCGACTTCCCAAATTTCTGTGGACACTACCTGCTCAGCTGTGTGTGCATATTTGTGTGTGTGCGTGTGCGTGACTACTTGCTTCCTGCTCTTGTGGCTCGCATAGCAATGTCAGCCTTGCTTTTGTTGTGAAAGATTCTTGGATTGTTTATTTAATACTCCCTTTTGCTTCACAATATTTGCAAAATCTAGTTTACAGAGAGAGAGAGAGAAGGTGTGTGTACACCTGAGTGTTTATCTATTGGAGATAACATACTGAAGTATTTCTAGATGAAATTATGCTTGGGATTTGCTCTAAAGGAATCCAGAAGGAGAGAGGCAGAGGGAGAAGTTGAGGGCTGGATGCTATAGGCTCAACAAGATTGACCATATTGTTGAAGCTCTGTGATGAGTACCTGAGAGTTCAGTATAATATTCACTCAACTTTTGCATATATTTGACAATCTCCATAATAAAAACCTTAACTAAAGACTGTTTATTAAAGATCTGCATGTGGGTTAGTGAGCTCCACAGCCAACACATTTTTTGTTTCACTGTACATGACCTCCTCCCCAGCATGCCCCCCATTCTCAGCAAGCCATTTCTAAGCTCTCTTTTCATGTGGATTTGCTAGCAGGCTTATTTCCCTTCGGTTTAGGATCTTGTGGAAGGCCGGGGTAACTTCTTACTCATCTCTGTGTCCCCGGGCCTAACAAAGAGTGTGCTGAACTGAACTGAACTGAGCTGAAGAAAAGCGTCCGCCCACAAATCCCCAGCCTTGCACCTCCTGACACAGCCCCTCATCACTGTCACGGTTTTTGCTGGGCCTGTGAATGTATCACAGGGGTTTCCAACTGAGTGGAACCACAGCACATCCATGCAGGGCTTACTCCTCGGCAGATGACGGAACAGCCCTTTTGGCTTTCTACATAAGCAGCCATATCACCACCAAGCGCTTTTACTGGCCGGTCCTTTTTCTCTTACACATTCCCTGGGATAATTCCAATTCCTTTCGGATCTGAAGTTCACATGAAACTTCTTACTTTGAGTGACTGCAATTGTGAGCCTAAATTCATGCTGGGCTCCTGGCTACAGAGTCCCACTTTGAGCCGCCTCTCTTCCCTTGCAATACATCTTCCAACCTAGAGAAGAGAATGGCGTCCTTCTCTTCTTCCATCCTTTGGGTTGTTGGCCCTCCTGTCACCCCCACAAGAGGTAAATCTAGCAGTGCCACCATCCTAGCTTCCCAATTCCCTTATCACCCTCCCCCGTTTACTCTCTGCTGCCATCTGGCCCCAATCTTCAGCTTTCCTCTTAATTCCTATTCTAGGCTCATTTTATACCATCTCTTATAGTTTTCCTGCTACTATAGTTCTGGCAGCTTCTACAACAGTCATCCTGGTACTATCAGTGTTCTCACTACTCTTGAAATGGCTTAGTACAAATCTCAGTGTCTCTTTTGCCTTCTTCCTAGTGTGCACTGGGAAGGTTAAACTGGGGGTGGGTGGGTCAGGTGTTATTATGCCCATTTGACAAGAATCAGAAGGCTGAGTGGCTTGTTTAAGGTTTAAGAACTAGTAAAAGTCAGGGGCGCCTGAGTGGCTCAGTCAGTTAAGCGTCTGCCTTTGGTTTTAGGTCATGATCCCAGGGTCCTGGGATCCAGCCCTGTGTCGGGCTCCCTGCTCAGCAGGCAGTCTGCTTCTCCTTCTCCCTCTGCCACTATCCCCACTCTTGCTCTCTCTCTCTCAGGTAAACAAATAAAATCTTTAAAAAAAGAACTAGTAAAGGTCAGAAGTAGAAACTTAGTCTCCTAATCTCAGTCCAGTGTCCCAGCTAGTATCCACCATCCTCTTTGTAGTTTGCTATTGTTCCCTGGGGAGTCGTGGCTGACCTTGAACTTCTGTGCATTGACAAGAACAAGTGTGCCTTGCAACACTTACCTTTCTGGAATATTTCTGACAATGGTCCAGAGGACTGGAACTGAGCTAAGCCAAAGTGGTGTGGTTAGGACTCACTGTCTTATTGATTCATGCTGGCACTGACTGAAGTCTCAATATTGTCTCCAACAATTTTCTTATTTCTGAAAAAGAGCCAAACAGTGCAGGGGAGGAGGCAAGATGCATCAGCATGACCACTGGACTTTAGCCGAGCACTTTTGGAGTTCCAGGAACCAGAGACAGGCATGGCACCAGGTCACACTCCAAGGGTTATCAACCTGTAACTTGATGGCCTAGAGGACTGACCACTTTTTTTGGGTCAAGACAAGTGCTGATTGTTGGATAACATTATTAATGAGATGTGCAGATGGTGGAACTATAAGTGACAGCTAAGCTTTGTAGAAAAATGATGTGGTTGTCCCCTACTATCACCTGAAGATCCCCTTGGCTATTCACGTGTGAGTATATGAAGAGAGAGAGAGAGAGAGAGTGTGTGTGTGTGTATGGTGAAGGGTAGGAGAGCTAGAGCAGGTTCAGCTTGGCAACACTTTCCCTCCTATCCCCACCTCCAATTAAAATCAACATCTAGGGATGCCTGGGTGGCTCAGTCGTTGAGCGTCTGCCTTCAGCTCAGGTCATGATCCCAGGGTCCTGGGATCGAGCCCTGCATCGGGCTCCCTGCTCTGCGGGAAGCCTGCTTCTCCCTCTGTCAGCCACTCCCCCTGCTTCTGCTCTCTCTCTCTGACAAATAAATAAAAATTTTTATTAAAAAAATAAAATCAACATCTATACCCTAACCACAATGCCCTACAGCATCATGACCTCCCTAGGTTCTTGAGCACGAACTTTGTGGGAGGCCCTGTGCCAATCTCCTGCTGCAACTATAATTCTACCTTTCATCCTCGATTGCTTTAAAGAAGAGAATATGTATGTAACAAATACAAGTTTTTCATTTTCCCTCACCAAACTTTCAAAACAAACTTATGTATTTATGTGGGGAGCCGGAAATGACCTTTCACCTCAAGTGAAAGCTGGAGCATCTGAGGACAAACATACCAAGAAGAATCACTCCTCACGTTTGCATAGAGTATTGACCTTTGCACAGCTCAGAGTATTCCTCTCCCACCTCTGTCCTTCTGAAAGAACTCACTGTGGGTGGAACAGCTCAGGGTCAGCATCAAGGAGAGGGCTTATCCTGGGAGGTGGAGTGGAATACT